CTAGTGGTTTCAACTTATTTTAATGTAAATGCTAAATTTTGAAAATAGGTTTTGGTATTTTCTTTTATTTTTAATTCACAAACTATGTATTTGAATGTTTTAAAAATAATTAATACAGTCAAATATGTAGATTATAATATTAGCCATAAACTAATGTCCTAATGACCATAGTAATAATTTAGAATATTTATCCAAAAGTTAAAGCTACCTAAATATATTGTAAGCATAAAAAGAATTTTTGAAGATGTCAGAATAGAAAGAGTATCTAAATCTAAATGTGGGAAGGTTAAAAATGCACCTCTGAGGAGGTCCCTGGAATTGAGAATTAACTTGTTTTCTAGCCTAGTGACTTAACATACTTTCAAGGAGCTGGATTTGCCAAGGTCCCTACCTATATTTTAATGTTGAAAAATCACAACTGCCTATTATTTTTTCTTTATTTTCCTTCTTTTAAAAAAAGTTGGAGTTAGCATTGCTATAGATATGACATTCTGACATTCTTCCTTTGAAGATGACATGAGAGCTTTTGTACATCTTGTGAATTGTTTGCCCCAGTCTCAGCTAATAGAGTTTACTTCAAATATTTTGTTTTAATATATATTTTGTTTTAATATATTTTCTTATATGGAGATATAAAATTTTGTTGTGTAGATAAAAATGTTCTACTCTAATAACTTAGGGGGGCAGGAGTTGAATATAGGAGGAATATATTATAGCTCTCTAAATTCCTGTGTAAAGGACATAGAAATTTAATTGGAAAGATTATTTGCTCTAAAGTATACTGAAAAGTATTTATTGAGCATTCTTGTACTTGCCAGTTTACTGGGGGTCCCTGCAAGGTCATAAGCTCTATGAGGGCAGGTGACTTATGCTGTGTTGTCTTATTCTGTAGGACATCAGAATCACATGTACTAAGATAGCACTAACCCTGAGATGGTCAATAAATGTTGAATGATTGAGCACTTTCTACATGTTGGGCCTTGGCCAGGTACTGCAGGGAAAGTGAGTGAACCAAATGGAGGTCCTGCCCCCCAGAGCACCGAGAGGCATCCTCAAATGCTGTGCCTCCCACCCCACACTCCCCAAGTCCCCCAGTCCCTGTGAGAAAACTCACAATGTTCATCAAGTATCCAAAGGAAAAAAAAAATAAGAAAGAAATAGAAAAAAATCAAACCAAATGTATAAAATGGGGCGTTGAAATAATGATTTTTGCTTTTTCTTTTTATTTTGTTTAGAGGTAAGCTTTGCATTCTGATATTCTGGTTCAGAAAAGGAATGAAACAAAAGCACGAGGGAAATTTGTGGAAAGGCCTTTCTTTAGTTAGAATAATTGTCAGATTAACCACCTGCTCCTCACTGAGTGGCCCTGCTCTTATTACTTCTTTCCACAGCACTGGACTGATATAATATGGCTGTATTCAGGAACAGCCTACTCTTTAATACTGCACACCTACAAATGTTTCTTTCTTCAAAATCTGTAGGACTGTTTGCCTGAAAAGCATGGGGAAGAAGGAGTGGTTTTCTTTAGTGGAAACATTGCAATTGCCTGAGGACTCGCTGAGCTAATGAGGTCCTGTGAATTTTTCCCATGTAGTACTAAGCTAATAAAAGATATTCTTACACCGCTAATGAGTTGTAACAAATCAAGACCAGTGTGGCTGGAGTGGAGGGAGTGAGAAGGGAGTGTAGTAGGAGATAAAAGAGGAAGAGATTAAAATCCAGGTTGACTATCCGAAGGTCAAATGGAGGATTTGTGGTCACAGTGCAGATTTGATCTGTATGTCTGTCGTATGTGGATGGTTTATTTCCACCTCATGAATCGCAACCTCACTTCTCCTTACTGACATTTTCTTTTTAGCAGAGTCGATGTCCTTTTTCTATATCCATGGGATATAGTGAGCTTATTATAACAAAAGTAGTGGTTACCACTTATCAAACATTCCAGCAACTATATTTCTTAGTTCTAAATCTGAAACATTCCTGACAATAGGTGTTATTACTACTGTCTTATAATGAGAAGTGGGAGCTCAGAGATAGCAACCCAGCACAATATTTCATACCTAGAAGATTAGCCGAACCACGATTTAAGCACAAATCTGACTTGAAAGCCTGTTTTCTTTCCACTTGGATTTAGGTGACTTCAAGGCAACTTTTAATTTTTTGCCTACCTGACTTTCCAGGTATTGTGCTTGCTGTAAATATAATAAGGTGTTGTCTACTTACTGGTATATATGTATTCTGACTGAATGAAAGTCACAGTTGATTCTGAATTTTTTATTTAATGTAGCTGAGGTTATTTAGCCTGGGTCCAGGAAGTACAATGATTTGTGAATGTGGATAATTGGCACCTGCAATGATTTCTTTAACATATCCGTGTATATAAATGAGTGTCTATAAACAGACAAATATTCTAGTACTTTTACACATACTTTAGGGAATTACATGCCATTTAACTCTAGTATTGTCGTATTCGTCTTTCTCAGATTCTTAGCCTCTGTTGATAAGAAGAGGGTTTATGATGAATCCTCAGACTGCCATTCTAAGAAGACAATAAATCGAAAACTCCATTACTTGCAAACATAGAGTAGTGGTTTCATTACAAGATACAGTGGATCATACCATCAGTATTTTTCCTCCTGTGGCCCTGAGTCAGAGAGTTTTATTGGAAACAAAATAATCTGAGTTGGTCTCACCCCTTTATTTTGTGTATCAACAGGCCGCTGTGTAAGTTTCCTATGACGTTACGTCTCCCCTTCATTGCTGTGAAAGAAAAATCCGTGGAACTGTGAAAGCATAGTTCCTTTCACGGCTGTGATGTTGATTCCATATTGTTGGTTAAAAGGACATATTCCCATAAATCCTGTATTGCACTTCTTTCCTGCCATCTAGGGTATAAAGCATGTGGATCACTTTGGCTTTATCTGTCGGGAGTCTCCAGAGCCGGGGCTGAGCCAGTATATTTGTTATGTGTTCCAGTGCGCCAGTGAATCTCTGGTAAGTGGTGTTATTGCTGTCCGCGTGCTCCTGCCAACACAGCTGTTAACAGACTCATCTGTTAGGAACCCAAGCCTTGCAAAATGGCCATCAGTGGGCAGTGATGAAGACATCTAGAAATATGTTTTTGACCTTATAGCTGCACAATAACAGAAAAACAAAAACAAATTGTCACGGTAATTTTTAAGCCTAGATACTTTCTTGGGTTTAGCAAGCCCACTCATGTAACCATGAGTATTTTTAAAAGGTAGGAAAAAACAAATAGGAGAAAAACTGTTACTTTTTCCATTGCTCATATGTGAAGATAAGGAAGGTCATTGATCTCCTGTTTTCTTAACTGCTTTCTTAACTCCTATTTTCTTATACTATCTCAGAGTAGATTATGCTTATATTCACAGAGTAGAGAGTTAATTTTGTTCTTTTTCTTTATTTTATTAGCTCCTGTCTTCATTTGTTAAATACTTTATTCTTTGTTGTCTTATTTTAACCTTTATTTCATTTCTTTGAAATGTAAAAGTTAATCCTTCTCTCCAACACCTTGGCCCTCTTGCCCTCTATTGTGTGGACAATTGGAGTTCAGGAGAAAATATATAAGGCAGGCTTTGAAATACATCTAAGTGACTAAGAAATATGTTGATTTTTTCCCCCTCTAAGTTTTTACTTATTCTTCTACCTATGCTGTTTCCCGAAGCCATTTTAACACAAACCATCATATATATATATCATCATTCTTTGAAAAGTTTGCAGAAAAATATTTTCTTAGACATAGAATCCTCCCACCAGCATTTCTCCCAGGGAAACACATGCAATTTAGACAAACACAAGCCATCCAGGCAGCATTGTCCTTGTGTCCTTGTTGTGTGTTACAATCATACCTGCAAGAGCCTTCCACATTCCCTGTGTGGACACTGAGGTTAGGAGTAATGAAGAAGTGGGAGTGAATTGCTACAAAGGCACCCTCGAAGTTTTTATTTTTTTCTCTAGGGAATATAGAACTCCGATCCCTAATAGTTTCCTGCCCTGGAAAGTTCAATTTGAGTTTCCTGCTCCCTCTAAAAAATCAACCATACCTATGAAATATCCACATATTGATATCCAGTTGACCCTTGCAAAATAGGTTCGGTTTAGGACTTGAGATGGAAATTTGAGGTTGTCATTATGTAAATGACAGTGAAAACTTGGGTGTGGATGAGCACCCAGGGAGAAGAAAGAGAAAAAGAACCAATGCCCCAGTACTGGAAAATGGATAGTCTAGGATATCCTTTCACCCACGCCACGCTCCCTACCCACGCCCTGCCCACCTCACACCTGCCTCCCTCTGTCCCTCCTCCTGTCTAAGGTGGAGCCTTCTGCTATGCTCTGAATCCCTTCCTCTCCTGCCTTTCCCAAACCTATCGTATATCCCATGTTTTATTCTGGCTGCATCATTTACGCAACTTCCTTGTTGAGAAACCCAAATGCATTCTCCTTCACCTTCTATATCCAGTTGTTCACCAAATCCTAGTGACTCAAAGACAGAAATGTCTCTCTGACCCATTTCTCCTCCTTTTCCTCTTTGCTGCCTGATTCAGTCATCATCTTCTTTACTTGAACTCTTATGCTAGTGTCCTAACTAGTCTCCCGGCCACTGGTTTAATCTGCTATCTATTCATTTTCTACATTATGCTAAAGTTTTATTTCTCACAAAATTTCCTCCTCGGAACCTAGATTATGCCTCACTATTAAGGGAAAAAACCTAGAGCGTCTCGCCCAGAGTAGGGCCATCTTCTTTCTCCAGCCTTCTCTACTGTAGTTTCACACTTAGACTGAATGCCCGGCCCTTTCATGACGTTTTCACACATGCTGTTCTATCTCACAAGCTGTTCTCTGAGCACAACCACATCGACTGGTTTGATGATTGGCGTGATGTTGCTTTTGGTTTGCTATGCTAGTGAAAGCAGCAAATGATTAGCGTGGGGGATCCACATGAGATCAAGGGCTTCCCTGCAATGGCCGCAGCTCTCTGAAGGCCCCCATGGCTCACAGAAGTGCAGCTGGAGCCCAGAGGCCACTGTGCACTGCACGGAGTGAGGAGTCTGCCTGGTCAGAGGATGCCAGAACCGGGCCTGCTGCCTTTCACACTGTCAGGCTGGGAAATGGGCCGTGTCAGCCTCAAGGGCCCACGTGTTACTAAAACAAGGAGCTTGTGCAGTGCTTTAGTTATCTTTTCGTAGGCTTTTTCGTACTGCCTTATTGGAGGTAAAGCAGGCCTGGTCCTGCTCTACTGTAACTTGAGTACTCTTCCCCTTCTTTTTTTACTACATATTTTTCAGGACGCTTCTTAAATATCACATCCTACTAAAACCTTTTCTGACCCTCTTTTTTCCAGGAATTGGCTCCTTTAGCTGCTCTGTTGTCAGTGCTCTTACTAGACCTTGTTCGTAGGTCTCTAACCCTTCTTGCCTGCGCCCACACTCACTTGTCTGGTTGCATAACCGTCTGTTCCCCTAGACTGTGAATTTCACTGTTAGGACTGTCTCTTATTTATGTTGCGTCACTGGGGTTTCTAGGATAGCAGGTGCTTGAAATTTTTGTGTTTTGAGTGATTGAATGACTGCGTTACTCTTAACTTTAGGCAGTCATTTTCTAGGTGCTGGTTAATCTCTGATCACTGGATAGCTTGCACTAAAAGGAAAAGTATTGATATGAATTATAAAACTTTCTTATTTCCAGTCTCTTTTACAGGTTTTGTTTTGCTTTTAGTTTTTAGTGTTTTCATTTTGCCCTCACGCATATAGAATGAGTTTTGGAAACAGACTCATAGTAGAAAGTCTGGGGAAATGGTGCATTTTCCCACCTAGCAACTCTGTGACTAAGGCAACAGACCAGACTGGCTGTGAATGTCTTCCTATTTCTTGAAGCTGTGTCAGAATCTGAGTTTTGGCATCTTTAGTCTTAAAAACAGGCCCATGCTAGGATCTTTCAAACCCTGTTTACTCTAATTTTATCAGTAAGCACCTTAACTGAATAGCGAGGCATCAGAACTGAAAGCTAAAAGAAAACTTAAATGTAAATTTCCTGCATAATAGGGGATGACTTAAGCAGCTGACATATAGAACAAAACAAAACAGTCAATTAAATACTGTCGGTCTAAGCAGTGTTAGGATTGATGTGGCTAGTGTAAGACTGTGTATTGCCAAACCTGGTGTGCTGACTTACCTTCTCTGAGTACCAAGAATACACAGCATTTTCTTTTGCCTTTTTGTAACAATTGCTATGAGTTTGTAAACAGTATAGTGTTCTGATGGGCCTTGGAGGGTTACACTGGAAGTTTAGAATGCTCAGTTCTTCCTCTTCTCCTTCCTCCCCTCCCTTCCTCCTTCCCTCCCTCTCTCTCTTT